AAAAAGTCCATTTAAAAACAGTCTATCACTCTTTGTGAAGCAATAGGTTTTCCAGTTAATAGAACGAAACAGGAAGGCAGAAGTTTAGTGGAGCAGTGACTTTGTGTCTGACTGAAATGGTAGGGGTCGGGCATCCTCCTCCTGAAGCACTGCTATTTCCCGGAACTGTGCTCTCAATGCAGCGCTCTTCATATTCTGCACATCCTCCCGGTTGCCTTCACTGCTTAGCGGTTTTCTTTGGAATCTCCATGTCCATGCTGCCTCTGAACACAGTCTCCCTCCTCAAACTCCATCTGTTTTGGAATCTCATGTTGTCTTGGTTACTTTTCTCTCTTTGCTGAGACAAAATACCCAACACCCAAATTAAGGAAGTAAAGGTTTATTTAGCTCACAGTTTGTGGAGATTTCAGTCCATACTCAGCTGACTCCAAGGCAGAGTGGCACAAGGCAGAGAGCAAGAGTTCATGGCAACAAAACAGCAAAGCAACAAGAGAAAAAGGGAGGAATAGTAGCAAGCAGCCTCTTTCCCTCCCTTACATTGTATTCAAACTGCCCATCCCAGGGCAGGTGTAGCACTCACACCATAATCCCAGAATTGGACCATGGATCAATCATAAACTCTAGAAGTCCACCCCATGACTGCATGTCCCTTTGGAGGGACATGCAGACACAAACCATGACACATGTCCATTTGTTTTTCCTGAGCATTTCCACTTAGATACATGTATAATATAGGCACCTCAAACCCAATAGGCACAAAATTAAGCTTATGGTGATAGCTACATCTACTTATATCCAAAGTTTAGGAATCACCCCTTTTTTACCCCTCACCACCCAACCTAACAATCAACAGAATCAATATTCTTTTTACAGTCACTCTATTGCATCTTTTTAATACTCTATACATTCACAATTTCTTCTCCAATTTTACTACAATCTCTACCCTAATGGAGTCTCTCTTCTGTGGCTACACTACTCTAAACATTTCCTAACAGAACTGTTTCTAGATATTCCCTTTCCAGATATACCCTACTGAAAAACTACCTGGTGTAAAGCAGAAGTCGAAATACATCACTCTTTCCTGAGATCCTTCGGTGGCTGCCCACTTAATACTGATTTCTGGTACATGAAACAATGCAGAAAAGAGTCAGAAAAATTAATCCTAACTTAGAATTTTATAAATGGATTCATGATCTATCAAAAATATAGGAAAAATATCCAGACTCTTTCTGACATACAGTACCTAAGAAAGATCCAAATGCTGAATGAATGGCTGAAGATTTACTTGAGCAAGAAAAATAAAACCAGACTGAAGACATGTTAAATTGAAAATATTACAAAGCACAGGTATTGATTGAATGTGTCAATAAATTAATCTGCTATTAAGACTTAAAAGAATACCTCTTAAACTTTGTGTTTAATAAAAACATGAAATTGAAGCCCACAATTATGAGAGTAGGAGGAGTCATTCACTGGGAACAGTACTACAACAAAGGTCTTATCACAGTAAGGAAGAAAACAGACCTATGGAGTGAGCTTTGATTCTTTAAGATAATTTACAGTTAAATATGTAGATAAAAAATTATAAATAACCTCTAAAATAAGTAATAGAATCTATAGATTACAAGCACCAGGTGTTAAACAAAAATAATTTTTGATTAAATAAAAATTCAGGAAATAATTTTTAAGAAGCAAAACCATAAGGTGGCAAATAAAATGTTACTAAGGATTTCAAATACAATACTACAAAAACTTAAATATAAGTTGTAGTTTGACTCTTAAATATTCTCCAAAGGTCTGTGTGTTACAGGATTGGCCACAGCCTGGTGCTCTTGGGAGGTGGTGGAAACTTTGGAAAGTGGAGTCTGGTGAGAGGATTAAGCAACCACAGGTCTGCCCAAGGGACTCTGGGGCTTCCTTCCTTCCCTTTTAACTTTCTGCTCATGAAGTGCTCTCCACCCACTCTTCCCAGGAATGGCCACCACAGGCCCAAAGTAACAGGATTAACTGATCATGGGTTGAAACCTTCGAAACTGTGAGTCAAAATAAAACTGTTCTAAGCTTATTATCTCAGGGATTTATTATAGTCACGAAAAGTTGATTAACACCCCTATTAAAAAACATATTATCTACTTATCTTAAATTACAAAACCTCAGAGTTATGCTACTAACTACAATTTACCCAAACCATACAAGGGACAAATAATAATAATAGCAATAATAATACAAAAATTAATTCAGGTAACAGAACTAATAGCAGAAGAAATGGAATATAAATTCAAAAGTTTTAACAGACAAATAGAAGGTGACTACAGCAATATAAAAAAGAATAACAATCTCAAAACTATAACAATCATATACATGTATGAACATAACACATTTAATATATATAAAGCAATATCTAACAGAATTACATAGAGAAATGGACAGATACCATCAAAATTTGTGATCTATCCAAGAAAGATTAAAAATAAATGAGGTAAGTTTTAAATTAAAGATATTAAAATAATAACCTTAGAGAAAATCTGAAGAAAATAGCAGTAAGAAAGTTAAAACATTTAAGAGGAGGCATACATGAAAACAAAGCCAAAAGTCAAAAGGTAGACTCAATAGAGGCAAATTTAACAACTGCATATTTTAAAAATGAATGTAAAAGCAAACCTCAACAGGCTATAACAGAAAAGAAGATAAAAGTCGATATTAGAAATTAAAAGGGAATATAATTAAACTTGGGCAGCATTTTAAAATTATAACAATATTTTATATATTTTCTTAGAGATACATAATACATCTATTGAAAACTATACAAGAAATATTGATTTCTTCCAAGGAAAATAAGCAGGCTGGATCCTAAGCATAGGAAGCAAATTTTATCTTGAAAGCTATGAATATATTGCCCATTCAGTAAAATTTTAACAGAAGGAAATAAATTTTAAAACTAAAAAGTTAGGGGGTGGGGATTTAGCTCAACAGCACAGCACCTGCCTGACAAGCACAAGGTCGTGAGTTCGATTCCTGGTACCAGAAGAAAAACAAACAAAAAAAACTAAAAAGATACTATGATACTATGACCAAGTTATAAAATTTCTAACGAAATAAATTAAATGATTGAAAACTTTATACCAATTAAACATGCAGACAAAAATCAAAAATTGAATCTGAAAATAAGTATTTCCCATGATTCTTTTCACCTTAAAAAGAAAAGCACTAGAATTTTTACAGATCAATGAGGAAAAAAATGACAGAAAAATCTAACAAAATACAGTAACAGGCCCTTCACAGAGGGTAAAACCCAATGGTTAAAATAAATATGTGGTGAAACAAATGCCCAAATTGGTCTTTATTTAGGAAAATTCTAATTAAAACAGAGATATCATTTCACTGAAAATGAACTGGCAAGCTTTAAAGCCTGACAGTGACAAGCATTGGGAGGACATGGACAACATTCCTACACAGCTCTCAGTGCAGAGTTAGCACTGTGCCACTATCCTACAAACTTCCAAAGTCTTAGGACTCAGTGATTCCTATCCTGGGGACTTATAGTCTGGTGAAAATCTCACCCTTTTGCACAAGGAGGGTATGTACAAGAATAGTCATCAGAGGGCCTAAGGGTTAGCCTGCCCTGGCCCCTGAGTTCCATCCCCAGCTAAAATAAATAAGTAAATAATCACGCTGGTCTGGTTTACAATAGAAGATAATTAGAAGCAGCATAAGTAGTAAGAACAAACAAATTGTGTTATATTATACAAAATATTCTATAAAACAAGAAAATAAACTAGAAATGTGTAAAGAGAAAGATCGATAACCCCAAAGACACTGTTGAAGGAAAATAAAATTTACAGATGTGGATGTGAAGTAGAATACATTTACATAAACTTTGAAAACATAAATGATATCATACATTGCTTATGATCACATGTATATGAACAAATGTTTTAAAATGCACATGGAGGGCTGGGCACATAGCTCAACCCTGCATGTGTGAGGGCCTGGAATCAATCTCTACCTTAAAACACACACAATTAAACTAACATGAATTTAAAATAAAATATAAATGGAAATGATCAATAATGGGTCAGAGCTAGGAATAGAGTAGGGAGAGGTTCACCAAGGGCTTTCACGCCATATAAAATGCAGCTTTTTCACAGAAAGCATGTAATGAAGCAGATATGGCAAAGCAAGAAAAAGTAGCAAAGCAGCAGGCTGAAGAATGCGCAAGTGATGTTATTTTCTGTAGATATAATTAAAATATTGGACAATTTCAAAAACTAAAACTAACATGCTTATTGCAAGTCTTGTCGCTGGTAATACTTCCAGTGTTCACACTGGGCTCATGGTCCTGTTACTACTATTACTGCAGTAACTGCAATCCATCCCCTGCTATTGCTATTCCTGTCGTGTACCGCTAAGATATCCACCCTGTTAAAGAAACTTGTGAATCCTTTTCTAAAGGAAGTAATTCTTTACTGCAAAAGATAATACTTGCTAATGTAGCTCTTCTTTAAATTAGAACTTTTGTAATTGAATATTTCAAAACTGTATTTGTTTCTTAGTGCTTAATAAAGCCAGTCTTTAAAATACAAAGCTGTACAAAATATACTCTGTTATATAACAACTTTTTTCTGAGAATAGTGTCTCTCTCAGGTTCATTGGTTTGGTTACCACTCTCAAAAGCATATAAGGAAGACTAAGATTGAGAAATAAGAACAAAAAGGGTAAATTATCCTCCCCCAAAAAAATACCTTAAAAATTCTAAGAGCTATAGGCTAGGGAGAAGCTTGTGTTTCAATGAAATAATTTTATATTTATTTATGTAATAGACACTGCAACATGAAAACTGTTTTTCTTGTTAACAGTCACATTCTCTTGAAATGGTTTTGCATAGACAATAATACATTAGTAAAAAAAAAATCAGCATTTCTTTGTTTTACTTAATCGTGCTTTACAAGCACAATTTGAGATATTAGCAATTGAATCTGAACAAAAACAAATCAACTAACCCCGAGAAGAGTGTAAGGCAGATTCTGCTGTATGCTCCATTGACATTCGAATGTTTTTCTGGGTTTCTTTCTCTGAGAGGCCAACTGCGTTGTTCACATCTAAGTTTGCTTTTTCTGCTTCAGCCACTAAACACATGGAAAATTCAGGGGAAAGCCGAGTATGGTCTTCATGCAGGTTTTGATCATCTAAATGCAAAGGAAGTTGGATTACCTGTTAAGAGATAAATGTGTCATTAAAATTTTTGAAAATTTAACACACATTGTTAACCTTGCTCAAGAACAATGTGACAATTTGATAAATCTAGAAAGTCAATAATAATTTCAGCATTTCAGACCATATAGGTTTTTGTTTGGTTGTGGTAGAATGAATGAAATCTTGTATACTAATTAATTTATATATTTGCTTCAGCTTTATTATCTTCTCTCTATGAGGGATTTTGTTTTTGTTTTTATTTTTTGAAATTTCTTTTTTAAAAATAACACTATGGGGTAACAATTATACTGGGGTGAGATTAGTAAAAATTCGTGCAGTGTTTACTATCTCCAAGAAGTAATACTTTAAGTTGAAGGGGCTGGGGATTTAGCTCAGCGGCAAAGCACCTGCCTGGCAAGTGCAAGGTCGTGAGTTCAGTTCCCGGTACCAGAGAAGAACCAAAAACAAAAAAAAAAAAAATACTTTAAGTTGAAAGATAAAAGTCAAGCGTGTAGCATCTAGTGGTGAGAAAATGGGTGCCCATCACACTATTTTTTCACTTTACCTTACGTTTAAAACTTTAATAATAACCTGGCTGGGGAAGGACAATCAATGACCCAAGAAACAAAATACTCAGAAAAGTGAGGTAGTGAAAGAAAAAGATTCCTGGGAATGTATTATAGGAGGTCTTCCTTGTTTACTTTTTCCTCTTCTACCCTTACACATGTGCTCTGGGAGCTGAGTACCAGTCGTGTGCCAGCCTCCTCCTCGTGCTGAAGGCAGCTGTCCTGGGTTCAGTCCCTGATGATGCAGGAGACGCACTGACTGTGCCACCCGCTCTTTGACCATGGAAGCTTCCTGGGACGCACTCACCAGTGGTCAGAATGCACTGGGATTGCCGTGTTTCTTTTCACCATTTCCAAGCCTGTATTGCAAAAGCCACCCTTTCTATTCCATCGTCTATCTTACACCATTTTTCTTTTCCTAAGTCTAAGTTGTGTATTTGTGAGCAGCTCAGCATTTACTTGATAGGAAATTCTTGCATTTAACAAACCTCACATTGGGAAAATCTACATATTTTAAAATTTCACATAAATGGAAAATGAAGTTTTCAGGTAAAAATTTTTGTTTTAATCCTCATGAAAGAAAAGTATCTATTTTCCTGTTTATTCTGTCTTTTAATCAGTGAACCAGGACTTCACTCTTACTTGACACCAATGAGCTACACACCCAGCCCCTAAGATGATCATGTATTGCACAACGCTATTTTTATTTCATTATTAAGACTCCCTCCCTCATGAAATATACAGGAGAAAAGTCCTAATATTGTCAATCAAGAATGTTAATGGACAATTACATCCATCTGGAATGGTAAAGGGCTGCCAAGCCCTACAGATAAATCATAACATTTTTTTCCACAAAGATTATTTTAAAATAAGTCAGAAGAAAAAGAGGAAAATGTTAGTCTTCAAATTCAAGTAGATTTTGATCAAGTCAAATTATTCTAATGTTGCTTCACAAATAACATTTTTATCTTGTAAATGTTAATCCTCAATTTTTGATTTAGTCCCAAATATAAATAGGCTTTATGATTAGTACTAGTACTACATGCATTGTCTTTTATGAAACAAAGTATTTATTTTGCCATAATTTATAAAACACTCAATTTTAAGTAATAAATAGTGAAAGAATAGCTAAAAGTCATGCATGCCTTTCGTATTCACTACACTAAAATTTACTTCCTCTAATACATTTATTTTTTTTAAATAGGTAGATGACTTGATATATGGATAGACAGAAAATAAAATGTGTAGGCAAGAAAAAACAATCCGTGGTATTTTATGATATAGGCATAAAAAAATAAACCAGAAGGGACACATTTGGATATATAGGACAAAAATGAGACTCCAAATACATTGGAATGCTTTATACTGAACATATACTGCAATTTTTTTTTTCTGGATCTTCCATGGTGTTTGCCTAGAAAGAATTTAGGGAACATCATTTCTATTGAAAGATTGACTAGAAAGCAGACAGAGTGCCAAATATATAAAAATAAATGAAATAGGCTGAGGTTAGTTTGTTTTAAAGATCTAAGGTAGACCAAAAGTGAGCATGCTTTGATGTGGCAAAGCCAAGGGAGGGAATTTTGTGATGCTGCTCAAAACCTGTGGAACTATGGGTCATTAAGTACCTTTTATATAAACAATGCCCAACACACAAAAGAATTTTGGTGAGGAAACATACTGTGGCACTACCAATAGCACGCTAAGATGAATCTGCAGATTATGGAATGCAGCAACAGACTGTGAACTCAGAACTGGAGGCTGAAGGTGGCAGTTCTGGCCCATCTACAATGCAGACAATTATATTACCTTTAACTTTTCCATTAACTCTAGAATTGTATTCCTTATTTCTATATATCAATTTAATTTACAGTATCATAAACCAGCACTGCGATGTAATTACTTTTGTCACTTTGTGAAACTTATTAAAATTTTCAGTTTCACGAAGGAAAATTAAAGACTAGAAAGCAGCTTTGGGAAAAAGGTAAAATCTTTTCTATGTACAAAAACATATTACAAACCTGAAAATAGAGATTGCACAGCCAGTGGTCCAAGTCCGAGCAAATCAAATCTTCAATTTCCCTGAAACTGTTGAGTGTCTGTTCATAACGTCCTCGGAGAAGGGGACACTTGAATTTTCCCTCCACTATACCAAAATTGTTGTCACACAGAGGAAAGGCTGCCCAGCCCACAGCCTGATCAGTGCAAGCAGACGTCCCACCAAGAAGAGACAGTTCAAAGAGGAACGCTGCGCCAGGTTTCACATCTTTCCTTTGAGGGAGTCCCTAGAGAGATGTTAAGACAGGGGAACATTGGGATGCTGGTACTTTCAGAAACACGCCAAAGTAGGTGATGCCTACAGACAGTTTAGAACTGGGTAAAAAGTCATTCTGTTCTCCTGTTGTTGGCCCTCAAAACTCACCATTGCATGAATTTGCATAATAACCCTTCCAGCCCCAGGTACTTAAGCAATCACACCACCATGAAAGTGTAACTCAAACAAGACAAATTAGCCCTGACAGTTCAAGAGTCTACATTCCGGGAGCTTTAGAAATCAAGATAGTCGTATGTTAACATAATCTTTTGTATTTTCAGTCTTCTTTGCCTGGTGCATCTATTGTTGCTATAGGTATTTGAATGCGTCCCTTGAAGAGTTCATGTGCTGGAAACTCAAAACTCTAATTCCTATATTAATGGTATTTGAGGAGAGGCCTTTGAGAATTGGAATTGGATTAGATTATTGGGGTAGGTTCCCAAGAAGGCACTAGTGGCCTTATAGGAAGCAGAAGAAAGAATGTAGCTAGCACACATGCTCAGTCTCACTATTGGATGCTCTCCAAGGTGTTATGACTTTCTTGCCACTGTGGGGAAAAGGAACACTTCTTCACTGTTAGTGGGAGTATAGACTGGTGAAATCACTGTGGAAATCAGCATGGCGATTCCTCACAAAACTAGGATTGGAAGTCCCACTTAACCCAGCTATTCCCCTTCTGGGAATTTTCCCAGAAAAAATAAAAACATCATACCACAGCAATATATGTGCACCCATGTTTATAGTAGCACAATTTGTTATAGCTAAATCTTGGAAACAATCCAAATGCCCATTAACTGAGGAATGGATAAAATGATATGGTATTTTTATACAATGGAGTATTACTCAGCTATAAAAAAAGATAAACTTGAGCCTTTTATAGGTAAATGGATGCAACTAGAGACCATACTCATAACTGAAATAAATCGGACCCACATGTCTAAACATCATATTGTCTCTCTAATGTAAGAACCTGAAAGAGTAAATAAAACCCAAAATGTACAATAGATATTATAAAAGGGAAAGAAATTGTTCAAAGGTAGGAACAACTGGGATGAGGAAAAGGAGAAAAAGAAAGAAGGGGGAAATAGATAGATAGATAGATAGATAGATAGATAGATAGATAGATAGATGATAGATAATGTAGTTATATAGATATATATATGGATAGCTGAGATAACTGTACTGTGATGTCTAATGGTTTATTGAAAGGAACAGTTAATGTTTAATTTTTTTACCAATTTTGCATGCTTATATCTGATAATCTGAACAACTAATTTGAAGACAACAATGTAAAATGTAACAACCATTGGTGAATTCCTACCATCTTGTCTAGTGAAACTCTGTATCATTTCTAATGGGTTTTTTTGTTTTTATTTTTTATTCTCTTTAATGGTTTGATCAGTCTTACATTCTTACATCTGGTAATCTGAACAACTTCATTGAAGATAACAATATATAATATAATAACCACTTTTAATTCCTATCATTTAGTTCTGAAATTCTGTATCATTTTTTTTTTTTTGCTTTGTTTTGTTTTTATCTATGTTGTTGGTATTTTGTCATTGCTCTTTTTAAATTATTATTACTGTTTTCTTTAAAATTAAAAAAGAAGGCCCTCACCAGCAACAGTGTCATGTTCTTTGGCTTCTCAGCATTCAAAACTATAAGCCCAGTTAACTTCTACTGTTTTTATACTATAATGTCTCACATATTACAATGTAAGAGAAAACAAAGACAATTGTACAACTATTTCTACCTTCCATTACAATTACTGCTTAATTTGCTTATCATGAATGTTTGCATTGTACTTCTACTCCGCCTAAGTGCTTTGCATGGAATAAATGCCTTACAAAAAGTAGTTGAGCTAACCACCATTCTCCAGAAAAAGTAATCCTACTTCTAATGGTCACTTGAAGAAAAAATAGAGTCCTACTTAACTTTGTGCTAGTCTGTTTCAGTTGACACTGTAATACACATCACTGTATGAGAAATTGCCAGTGCTAAATAAATAGCACTAAGTATAGAGATGAGTGATTCTTGGATTGGCCAAGCCTCTGCACAAAAGCCCAGATGTGAAGATGGTGTCTATTGTTCAACCTTTTAAAAAAATCTAGAGAATGCAAACCATGAGTCATCTTTTATTTTTTGAAAAAATTATAGACTGCACTTTCTTTTTAAAATTTTGTGTAAATAATTTTAAATTGATGAAGATAGGGGCTTTCTAAGACTATATTACAATGTTTATCCAAAAGTGTGTGAATATATTTTGTATGGTTTATGTAAATATTTCAAGACTTAGTGTAAGAATAAAATGAAACAGAGGCATCTGTTGAAAACTCCTGTAACCCTGTGGCAGCTGCTATTAAACCATTAACAGGATCAGGTTTCATTTAAACCAGATTTACCATTTTCTACAACAGCCCATGGGAAAGCTAAAAACATTAGGCACAAATTACTGACAAAAGAGATCCTTAATCAAGCCATACTTTTCATTTGGCTAGTTGGCTGTGAGTCACATTTGTGATAAGAGAATCAAAACTAAATGAGGAGGAGAAAGAGAACTGGAGTCAAAAACCTGTTCGGACCATCATTTAAAAAAAAAAACAAACTGATCTGATGCTAATAATAATACTTTCATTCCATTTTTATCCCTGTGTTTAAAAACTGGTTCTCTTGTTATACTAAACTGGGCTTATTCAGCCAACACATTAAAAGTACAAGAAGTAACAATCTGGCCAGTAGTGAGAATTCTATTATTAATTTCATTGCAGTGTTGGGCAAGTCAATTTTCATTTTGTATTTAAATCTGCATTTTTGTATTTAAGTTTTTATGTGTATATTTAAGTTGTGCTTGAGTTCCCTTGAAAGAATAAAGGTTATAAATATTTTCCTCACAAAGTAGACACAATCATCAACTTATATAGTAAATATAAAAATGCAAAATGTACCTTACAATTATTTATTTATCTTAGGACTTTCTCTCAACTACTACACTGACTTAAGCAATGCTACAATTTGATAAAAAAGAAAAGATAACACTTACGGTTAAAATACTCCTGCAAAACTGCAAAACACTACTACAAGAAATAGTTGAAGGGTACTAAGCTTGACATATGAATACCGTGTAACACTGTGTCACTTGTGGTAATGAGCATGAAGAACCTCTTCTATAAAACAGAACAGTCTTACACAACTACTCCGATGAATAACTCCTAAAGAAATAAGTACATGGGTGCTGGGGATTTAGCTCAGCGGCAAAAGCGCCTGCCTGGTAAGCGCAAGGTCGTGAGTTCGGTTCCCGGTACTGGAGAAAAACCAAAAAAAAAAGAAATAAGTACATGAACAAGATGAAAACTAGACACTGACACTGGCTATACAGGAAGATAGGAGCCATAAATTATTAAGACAAGCATTACCTCTTCTTACTTATTATTTTAGCGCCTTTCCCTTGCTGCCTGTTGTAGAAGAAATCTTTTGCCCTGCAATGTGCAGCTTGGGACTCATTCTTTTTCTCTTTGGCAAGAAAGTTCACTAAGTTTCATTGCACCTCTTTCAGAGGATATTTTCAGGAACTTGAATATATCCACAGTTGTCCTGTATGAGACATTTCTGTGAGTATTTTTCAGAACACTTATAATTTAAAACTATTCTATTTAAAATACTAAATGTACAGGTCTCCTTAATGACCTGTAGCTCCTTAACCAGCTACCAATGGTTAAGCTACCATTGGTCGCTCCTTAACCAGCTACCAGGGCCAACTCATCATGGAAGTTAGTGGTTGGAGGTCATCATATTGTCAGGACCTTTATTTCCTGAGCACCATGAAGAGCACTCCTCTGGAAGAAACAGGTGAACTACACATTTGAATTTCACAGCACATCTTCAGGGAGATACATTTTATCTTCCATACATGTCAGAGATGAAGTGGAGAACAAGTGAATCCAAGAAACAAATACAAAATTTGAAGGCAGAATGTTCAGTGGATGATTAGAAGGAAAGCAAAACCCTATTGACTTGGACACTATATTATTTAAATGAAAGCATTGCAAAAATCTATGAAACACAATGCAAGTAATGAAAATGCATATTCATGAAGTAGTGTTCATTTTTACATACTTTCTGAATTTTTTGTAGTGATCCTGGTTTTTATTATCAGAAAAAAATCAAATAACTTTTGGAAGCCTTGAAGATGAAAGCTAGGAAAATCCTAGAATGATATAAGCAGAGCCTGATGAGTGATTCTGGTCAGAAGGCTGATGTAAAAGCAAATGATAAAGGTCAGGCTCATGAGCTTGCAGTTAGGAGCAACAACTCCACTGGCATATGAACTAGAGACTGTATATGTCACACTATTGCAGAACATTTGTCTACATTTTGACCATGTCCTTAGGCTTTGCAGGAGATTGAGCAGTAGACCAATTAATCTGTTGGAAGAAATTTCAAGACAGCCAAAAATTTAGATTGTGGCATGGACAATGCTGGCTGCTTTTGGTCAGATTTATAGTGAGAATTTGCAGCCAAAGAAAGTTTTGAAAGAGTTACATTTTGGCTTAGAAGAAACCACGTGTAAAGTTGAAGCTAAAGGAGATGTGGTTGTTGAAAAGAATAGCACCAGTAAAGAGAAACAAACTACTTTGCACAGGGATAAGAAAGATGCCTTGAGGACATCTCGGGAACCAACAAGACACCAATAGCGACAGGCTCAAGGGTGTAAAGCAGTCAACTGTTCTTTTGAGAAGAGTCACTGAAACCCCATATCAAGAAGGGACTCCTAGGGAACTGGTTCCCTGAGATTCATTTCAGTGTGCTCAGCCATCCCACAACTCAGAGGCCATTGGTTCAGGCCATGATCATGTAACACTTTTTCATCACTTATTGGCCAGAGAACATACTTTCTGTGCTAAACTCTCCAAAATTGTCTTTTCTTCTCTTTTACTACAGTGACAAGAAGCATTCCAGGTGATTGTCCAT